ATATATTTTCACGACGTTAAACTTAGGGTATAAATATTTTAGATAAAAGCCCTAATGTGGGAAAGAGACCATAAGTTGCTGCCAACATCAAGAAAGAAGGATTTGTCATGTCATGTCATTTTGACATTTGCTATTGATAATTTGACACATGTAAACAATAAAATAAAATTTTCATAATTTCATGCGGGTGAAGCCGCACGGAAACAGCTAGTATCAAAATAAAAATATGTTAAAAACCAATAGCTACATTTAAATATAAAATATACCTGTAATTGAGGCTTTGATAAAACTTCCAAATCCTTTATCAAATGACATCCTCCTACAAAGAATCGTCGGGTATTAGCTTCCACCTTATCCACCTCCTCCGGGAGGGAGCAAGTCAATACCTTGTTATAATACCCGGGTATTAACCACAGAGGTAGGTAACAATACCCCTCAGTTCGCTGTCTACCCCACCAGTCTAAAGATATCGCTTCAAGGTATAACTGTAGAGGCGATAGTTCTAGAAATTTTACATTTAACGTTTCAGTAAATGCAAAATGCCGCTTTAAAAATAGACAGTACCAGTAAAAAGTATAGGTTTTCAATATTAGTAATTTAAATCTTACGAATATTATAAATGCGAAAGTTTAGATGGATGGATGGATGGATGGATGGGTGGATGGATGGATGGGTGGGTGGGTGGATGGATGGATGGATGGATGGATGGATGGATGGATGGATGGATGGATGGATGGATGGATGGATGGATGGGTGGATGGATGTTTGTTAGCGTTTGTAGCCTAAACGGCTAAACGGATCTCCATGAAATTTGGCACAGGTTTAGAGCATAGTCTGGAAGAACACATAGGCTACTTTTTATCCCTGGAATAGTTACGGTTCCCGTAGAATTAATTGATTTTGTTTTTTAATGTTTATTTGATCATTCTGCAACGGTTTAGTTTAGTTTTCTTCGGTTTTAATATATTTTTACCTATTTCCTCATCATTTTCTATATCCAATTCAATTATTTGTCCATATGTCCAAAATCTATCGCCATTGTTAGCTTTGCTGATATGAGTTCTACCATGGAGAATATCTTCACATTTAAAGTTTTCTGGTATCTAAAATAGTTATTATTTATGAATAAAATTCAATTTGTGGTAAAATATTTCAACTATCAGGCAAGTTTCCATTTTTCTTAGGAGGAATTGAAAACAGTGACATCTATTGTAAGCCTTTAAGAACAAAATGGCTTTCAGATGTTTTTTGTAAATCGATCATAGATGGCGCTAGTAGTCTTTAGTTTTCAAAAATTTTAACAACTTTTACTTCATTTGTAACAAACTATTTAAAACATCGCTAAACAAAGATCCTTTTTAAATGTAAAAACAAATATTTATCACTATTGTAACATATAGAGTGAAAAAATACTTAAGAGATCGCAATGAAAATTGTCACAGATGTAGAGCATAATCTGATACATAGCTTACTAAATGTTTATTTAATTCATCGCGGACGGAGTCGCGGGCAAAAGCTAGTATAGTTGTAATACCTTAATTTCATATTCAATATAAATGTTATCCATATCAAAGTCATTTGCTGATACAATTTCAATATTAACATGAAATTTCTCTTTCCCCGTTGGCGCTGGAATGAATTTCACCATTTGTTTGTGTTTCTTTTGCCATTTTATGTACAGTTTATTAAGCTGGAAATACAAGATGAAAGTATTGAAAATATTCATTAAATCTTACTAATATTATAAATGCGAAAGTTTAGATGGATTAATGTTAGAGTTTGTAGCCTAAACTGCTGAACAGATCTGGATCAAATTTGGCATAGATGCAGAAGACATTCTGGAAGAACACATAGGCTACCTATTTTTTTTTAATTCCACGCGTACGGAGTCGCGGGTGAAAGCTAATCTACAATAAATTGGGATTTCTTCCATCACTCTCTGATCCATTTTTATAAAAAAGGATTTAAATGATATATTACAAGTCTAACTCCCAGATCAAATATTCACTTCTGTCAGTTATTAAAGCCATAGTTTCCAGTTAAAATTATATCTGTGTACACAAAATTGTACAGTTGAACTGACAGTTCACACTTAAGTTTTTCAAACATACCGAATTTAAAATTAAAAGTGTGAATGTGAAATGTATTTGTAAAATTATATGTGAATTGTAATATTGTATTTTTGTATAAATAAATAAAAATATGACTGTACCTATTTAACTAGCTAATTAATTATTCCTATATTTGCTATGTTGTATTTAAACTTACCAAATTAACTAGATCTTGGTCACTTTCTGACTCATCAAAGATGATTTCAACACCATATTCAAAGTTGGCCGAGCAATTTTCCGTGGACACATTATAAGGGTTTTGTACCAAATTGTTCACATCAGGTGAAATAATAAGATAATTGTCAGTTGTATTGTAGTACAAAGACAACAGGATATATTCCTGTTTGATTAAAAGTTGAGTATCACTGGAGAATAAAAAATTCAATTTATATTACCTATGTAAATGCGAAAGTTTAGGTGGATGTTTGTTAGAGTTTGTAGCCTAAACTGCTGAATGGATCTCAATGAAATTTAATACAGATATAGAGCATATTCTGGAAGAATACATAGGCTACTTGCTTTTGTTTTTTCTAATACCACACAGACAGAGTCATAAGAGAAAGCTAGTTTCTTCATATGAGTAAAAATAAACTGTTTTTTTTTTTATAATATAAGGTGGGAAACGAGCAAGCAATCACCTGAATCCACCGAAATGGAAAGCGACCGCTGCCCAAAAACATCCGCCATTGCAGATTTGTTGCCTACCCTTCATTGACAGAGGAGGAGACGCACATAAAGAGCATTATGCATCTCTTCCACCGTCAAATCCACTTATCCTTCCCATCCTTTCCTTTTAAGAAAAGGGTCGAAAGGGAAAGGGACTAAATTTGGCCTCCGGCACCACACTCATCAGACGAAACGCGGAATTGCTTCCACTTCAAGCCTGTTTTCTGTGTGGTTAATACATATGGTACATCTTAATGTCTTATCACTGTACATAATTCTCTGAATTTAAATAATACTTAATGAAAACTTACTTAGTATAAGTAGAATCATCAAATACAACATGCATAGAAATCCAACTTGATTTTTCTATCACACTTTCTTGACTACGGAATAATTGATGCAGTGAACTTGAACCTCCAAATGACCTAAATGTATCTGTTAAGCTTAAATTCTCAAAGCATGAAAGTAGATTAAAATTACTTCTTTGGTTTTGAAATTTATTTAAATCCAATGGTACTGGTAAATAAGAATCCTCATGTATATAAGTAAATACTTTTTGGGGTTTATATTCTTTAGTATTTAATGCATTATGATGGTCCAATTGAGTTTCAGTACCACAATTGTGTACATCACTATAAGTCTTAATTTCCCAAGCACTGAAAACTTTTTCTTGCCATTTAAATACATATTCGTCAATCCCTTCAGTTTCGATTTTATCTAAATCAGCTGTTGTTGATATGTTCATGAATTCTTCGTATTTTGGTAAATTTATCGCACTAGCTTTAGGTTTGATTTTAATTCTGTAATTTATAAAACTATTTGTTAAATTAATGCTTAGAATAATAGTGAATAAAACGAAATTTACTAAAATGCAATTTAAATAAAAGAAAAAAGTTCATTTGTTGCGGTTCCCGTAGTTCTTTTGCCCAATTCTTAAAAAAAAACATACTTTAACTTTAAATCATCGATAGGCTGCTTTAGCCAATAGACTCCGGGCAGTTTATTGTTACTATTAAAGTCATACATGTTTTATTTTTGTTTTTATTTTATCGCCGTGAATAAAATTAAAAAAATTCACTGATAACAAATTGTGTTTATTTTGTTCGGAAGTGACAGATGACAGTTGGCGTAGTTGCTATAGAAACAATGTTTACACTAATACGTTCCGATTATGCATTCAGAATCAAGGAAATGATCTTGAGTGATTTTTTTTCACTTAATTTTGAACTTTGAGTTAAAATTAATTTGCTCCTTTAACGTATATCATACCAATACTGTGTATTTAATTATTCGAAGTATTGTTTGGGAGATAAACGAAATAATTACGTACCAATTTACGTCATGTTTGTTCACAAAGTGTACGTAAAAATGTCAGTGTGTCAGGTGCCAAAGCCAGTTTGTAACGGTACTTTGGACGAAGTGGTTATTATACAGTTGTTATTTGTTATCAATAACATAAACACGAACACTATAAAATTTATCCGAATATTGCAAGGTCTTTATTATCTTATCGTTGCTATAAATCGATTGTGATTAATCGAAGATTGTTTCAAAAAGCCGCGAGATGTGTTATTCGGTCAACATTTAAGTTCTGAATTTTTGATAGTTTGTACAGTTCTGTATAGTTTTTAATGAAAATGACTTCGCAACAGAGAGAAACTACTGTCTCCATGCCCCTTACTCCGACCAGATCCGATTTATATTGGCAAAGAATATTTAACAAGGTAAACTACTTTTTAGTCATTATTTGAACTTTCACTTTGTCTTGATTCTTCCGCCTTTTTATTGAATTCTCACGTTTGTTTTCACAAGGCACTTATTCTGAATGAATTTATAGTTTTTAGAATAGTCATCATTTAAATTTTTTCATTTTATTTATCTAGACTATTACCTAACTTGCCTATTTCTGGTATATTTTCTTCATTAATGGCCATGTTCTTTCTTTAAAACTAATTGAAGTGCTTTTTTCATATTTGTTTATTTCAACTAAACTATATACTAATGTTATAAATAGGACAGATTGTATTTTTGTATGTATTGCAATAGCTCTAAAACTACTGGGTTGATTTTAAAAAATCTTTCACCGTTAGAAAGATCATTTATCTGTAAGATAGGCTTTTTTTATTAATTATTAATTTCATTCAGACGAAGTCGCAAGCAACAGCTAGTAATTCATACTCATGGTGTAGTAACAAATCAATGTTTAATTTCTCTTTTTTTTATAGAGCAGTTAAAGGAACTTATACCATTCTTGTACTCATAATATAATCTTTACATATATCTGATAGAAGATAAGATTGTCCGTCTTGTTTGTACTTTCTCATTTAATATCAATAAATCATATAAGTTTCCTATAAGTTATTATTTTCAACATATAGTAAATTTTTATGAGAATTAGTGTGCAAAAAAAAGCTAAATCCAAAAGTCATCTATTGACAATACCAGTTATTTTGTATTACACTTTAGGCGGTGCTGTAGAAATCTTGCCTAGGTCAGTTTAAAAATGGTGTTTTATATGCATAAAATGGATCAAATTATTATCTTTATTTATTTATGATTTTGAGCACCCTATAACCACTTCTAATCCCTTTCCCACAAATATGTAAGGGCGAACAAGAGGGTGGCATAGAGCCGCCCATTAAAAAAAAAAGAAAAACCTCTTTTGATCACCTTATTACAATGTCTTAGCATATTTTTAATATTACAAGCTTAATAAACGAAATTGATGAATATGTAAGATTAGTCTTGTCTGCAACTCTATCCACATTAAATAAAAAAACAAAAAATAAGTAGCCTATGTGTTTTTCCAGACTATCCTCTATGCCACATTTCATCAAGATCTGTACATCAGTTTAGGATTCAAACTCTAACAAACATCCATCCATCTAAACTTTCGCATTTATAACATTAGTAATATGTAAATATAGCTAAGAAGCGGTAGTTAAGGAATTACGTAAGGAAAACACTTACTCGTTTACAGCTAAATATTTTACAATGACTCACATCTCAGATACGCGTGAGAATAATTCTTACGATACTCTATATTGAACAGTATAAAAAAATCACTATTGTAACCTTCAAGACTGCATTCACAAATGTTTGTAATTAACATCTGTTATTGATTGTAGACTTTATACTCTATACACATAATAAAATTGGATTCTCTGTTTGTAATATTAAAAGAAGAAATCCAGATTTCGGGAACATGATGTATTTGCGTTGCTGATAACGAAAATCTCATTTTTTTTGTCTGTCTGTCCGTAAGCCGCGTTTGTTCCGGGTAATCTTTGAAACGGCTGGGCCGATTTCGATCGGGCTTCCACTGTAGGTTAGCTGACATTGACGGGCATGTTATAGGCTACTTTTGTAATTCCGCGCTGTAAAAATGGCGTAATGGGTGGTCCAAATTTGCGCTAACGAAATTTGTAGACGACAGTTCGTTTGTACATAATCTCACTAGTATTACAAACTGACGTAAATTATACGCTTTAATTAGGCAAAGCATCTTAAGGGTTGTCCAAAATCTAAAAACGGACACCTTTTAATTGACTATGAGTAATCTCTTTTTGAATCAACCCTAAAGACTTGTATCCTCACGGAAATGTTTTAGCTTTTAGTGACAAACCTCAATGTTACTCACGTTTTAAACGTCACTAAATAACTTATTAGTCATATGGTCTTAAAATGTGTATACTTTGTATTCCATGTCAATGACCTTAACCCTTTTATACGCTTGTCCTCATATGTTACGTAAATATAAAATTAGCTTTCGCCCGCGACTCCTCGCGGAATTTAAAAAACAAAAGTAAGTAGCATATGTGTTCTTCCAGACTATGCTCTACTGACAAAAGTGGAGATCCGGTCACGAGTTTAGGTTACAAACGCTAACATCCATTCAAACTTTCGCATTTAGTAAGACGCAAGACATAGATGCAAATTGTATTATATACTTGTATCTATTTTCGTATCCAATACGTCTGGCGTGGATCCAGATCACGTAAAGTTTGTTAAACTCGTATTAAATATACATTGAATGCAATAACAATCGAAAATTGCAACGTAGGTTTCCATTGAAGTACGTAGGTTTTTTGTTTTATAAACAGAAACATGTTTCGAGTAGTAACTTTTGCTTCGATATTTAAGAGCTGTGCCTCCTAAAGCCCTCTACACACTTTATCGGATCGTTCAGTTAAGCACGTTGTGTAGGCAAAACTAACGAATGTTCCCAATTTTCTTAAATATATCTGAATGATGTGACAGTTCAGATAAAACTGAGCGTGTGAAGCTAGCTTATAAGCATGAAATATAGTGCAATCTATTGCATTGGTATTAATTGAAGCTAATCAAAATGGTTTTAAGCATGACTACACTTTAGTTTTTTATTAATAGACAAGGACATCGCGATATATGACTCATAATGATAAGAGAATACACTCACGAGTACATCATCAAAATATTTTTATCATAATGTAGGACTGCATATATCTTGGTTAAACGCCAATATACGTCACACTTTTTTTAAACCGCTATCGTGTGTGACCTGCATTATGCTGCTAACAAGACATACCGTTTAGAGCGCGCGCACACCTTTGTCTAAATTATCGCACAGTTTATTTTCGCTTTGATTCCTTGTATGGTGCGCACGCTACTTGTGCTTGCGAAACAATCGTCAATCGCACAACGGTTGCGCGCTGGTTTAGTCAAAGGTGTGTGTCGGCTATCAGTGTTTAGATATTCAATGCGAAAAAGTCAAGTGTATTTTTTATATTTGAACACAGTTAAACTGGGATAACTGTCAATAACTCAACAGAACATTTACTGTACAGGTTTAGCTTTTTTATTCAAATAGAAATCGTGAGAAATAGGTTAGGATTTGAACCCAATATCCAATGTTGTGTCGAAACACTTAGCCATTGGGCATTTGGCGGTTTATGTCGTTCCTTATATGGTAAGATTTTCATGGGCCGTTGGTGATGTGACTCATTGGAATTATTAGGAAATAGTGAATTGTAAACTGGATGTTACCAATTACGATGCGTCAGCCATTGTTACTGATGGAGATATGTATAGCCGTAAGTTTTCACTGTAAACATATTCTGTTTTGAAAGACGACGAAAATTGATTTTCGAGGATTTATTATTGTAAATATCGCGAAACAAAAGTTAGTTATTACTTTATTAAAACTTCAATATGGTTACTATATGTTTTATTTTTATTTTCTTGCAATCTCATATGTTTGTGGTTACACAGTCAACTTTAATACGCAATATCCGAGCTCGGTTTGTGGTCGAATTCGTTCTGAAATTATTTCTCTATGTTAGAAATACAGATTATTAACCCTTCGTCCTCATTTTCATTGTGAGGTTTGCTTTCCGATAACTCTTTACAATTCCCTTTTTTATCTTTAATAGGAGAAGGGTTTTTATCTGTAAAGGTATGCCAATCTAATAGTGCTATTCTTAGTAATTAGGAAACAAGATGGCATAATCTACGTCGGTGGTAATTTCAGCCAGAATTTAAATTATAATGCTAACTTTTTGTAGTATGTTTACTGATTGCTAACAGTTTTGGACAACTATATAATGGTAAGAAAACTTATATTAGGCCAGTACACACATACACATGCCAGTAAAATCGAGTAGTCGCTAGCATGCCAGTTACTGGCACATTATCTTCAACATGCTAGTAAATTGTTCACGAGATTGTATGAGTCGAGTAAGCTTCGTAATACCCTTTAGCCTCTACATTAACTTACATGTCCGTAGCTGTCAAAATCAAATATATTCATACCTTGCATGTGATACGTGCCAGTAGCTCCCATGAAAGTCTGCCTGATATTGGCATAAGTTTCCTCCTCTTAGGTGTTCTATCCACGGGCTTAACCTACTTACTAAAAATATTAGATCACATACACACTAGCGTTTTAAATAAACAATCTTAAATCATCGATAAACATTCTGTTTTAATGTAAATACAATTTACAATGTTTATTTTATTTTTAAACTCACTACGTCACACAAACGTCACTATTACATCTGCTGTCGTTTGTTCATTCAAGACATTGACAGCAAAATATTTTAATGTTGAAAACTGGCAAATACTTTTAATATTTATTTCAATTGAAGAGATCTTTAGTGGATTAGAAATATGTGATTTCCAATAAAATAAAATGTTTTTCAATTTACATCTAAAACTAGATTTCGCAAGCGACTTCGTCCGCGTGAAATTAAAAAAGAAACAAAAGTGGTAACCTATATATTCTTCCAGACTATCCTCTGCATCTATACCAAATTTCATTGAAATCCGTTCAGCCATTTGGGCTATATACTCTAACAAACATCCATCCATCCATCTAAACTTTTACATTTATAATATTAGTATGATTCCTTTAAATAAATGACGATTTATAGGTCCACAATCTACTCATTTAGAGTGCGATAAAGGCAGTATATGCCAGTAAAGATATCCTTCAATTTCCGTTAAATCAACACTAGTGTACACCCATCCTAAACATTTTTTCCAGCTTACGTGTATATTGAATGGACAGTGTTAGGCGTTGCTCGCAGGCCGGTTGATAACAGGTTGTTTACTCTCCGATTAGATTAGCTGACTACACCCAGGCTAGTGTGGAAATGATTGATACTGTACTGATATTTGTACTGCAATTTTATAGTTTGTGGTAGTTACTCTGTTTAAAGTATCAAAAGTAAACATAAGAAAATACAAACGTCACGCAATATTTGTCAAACAGAATGAGTAAGAGTGTACACTGCCATTTAAATTTTATAACGGATCGAATTTTAATACTGCGAACATCACAATCTGCTATACAGTTTTTTTTTTATGAAATGTGACAAAGGCAAAAGCGGCCAGTTGCATTATTCTAGCAAAGTGACCCTTACCCAAAGAGCATTTGCATACGCTTCTAATCGACACGCAGAAAGAAAATGTCATCTTATAAGTCCCCTGTCACATTTACCTTCCCTTGCCATCCGTTCCTAATAAGAACAGGGTGAAAATGGACTTAATTGTGTCCTCTGATACCCTCATCATAGTATGCGAAATAATTTTGACTTCATGTCTTCTGTGTGGTCGTGTGAGCGTTACATTCATGGAACAGATGTTATTGTAGGCTCTACAACTGTTGAAAAATTGAATGTGATAATTACGTCAATGGAATAACTCAACAGAAATGGGTTATTTAAATATTTGTAAAAACTTGCTGTTTGTACGTGACCTAATTCGTGAAATAGACAATGAAAAGAGATAAATCGACATTAATTGTTTATAACGTTAGAGGATATATGATTGTAATGTGCGTAACTCTATTGTTCAATAGATATTAAATAAAAAGATATTAAAACAAAGAAAATATACATGACCATGAGGAAACCTTGATTTAAAGTTTCACGATGTTTTCCTACAATATAGGTCTGCACATATCAGAGAATATGCGTGGAGTCAATCCACATTTGGTCACTAAGGTCTACTCACTCCTAAGGGTAGGCTCAAAGGACCACAGGGTATTTTTTTAAATACTACGCAGATAGAGTCATGGGCGCCATCTTACTAATAAATATTTAGTCTCAAATCTTTTTTTCCAGTACGACAGAGACAACGATGGGAAGATATCATACGGAGAGTTAAAAAATATAATAGAATCCCGAGAATATGATCATGATCTACCAGATAATGTTGTGGAGAAGATAATGGCGTTGGCAGACAGTGATAACTCCGGATACCTCGAGTTTGCAGAGTTTGTGGAAATGATGCACAATCCCGACCTTAAAGCGGTATTTGGACACTTCGTTGCCAGATATGTGCATTCAATAATACCGCATAGAGATCCTGTTGATACCACAGGTGAGTTGTAAATTCCAGTGAGTAAAATCGAATTGCAAAAAATTGTATTAGGTCCTATTCGCACGGGCGTTAAAAGGCGTAGCTGTTCATATGGCGACGCTTTTATATAACAGTGTATATTAAAAGCAATAAAAGTGAAAAGCGTTTAAAAATCGCCCGTGCGAAGAGGGATAGATGTCAGTCAAAATGTATAAATGAGTACACAAGTTTATTTATATTTCTTTAAAACTGAATGAGAATTTTATACTCGTAATTAGACTTGCTATGAGCAACCAACTGTATCTACACGTAACATAATGCACGTAACGTAATTTATCCATTGTTATGCAAGTATATTATTATTTTTTTAATATTTATGCGCATGCAATTAACATTGTAATTTATAGCTTATTGTATTTGTATAAAATCTAAATTTGTTTGATAGGAACGTGGCCAGGATTCAGAGCGGTGTCGACGTCGGATAGCGGTATTTTTAAAATTTTTTTTCGTTGGTTTTTTTTTATGTTGTCATCACTTTTCAGCCATTGTTTTGGTCCATTCATTATTCATACTCTGTTTTTCGCGTGTACTGGTTATTATAATAATTCTACTGTGTTTGTATTGTAACAGGACCTATGTTATGTTAACATACAAAACAGAACATTGCTTGTCCTAATTTTATTTCGTTTGACATTAGACAATATTTAAAAATAGAAGTGTGTCATCCCACGGGCAAGAACAATCAAAGCCAATTGCTAAAAGTAATAAAAACACGGAATTTCCCAGGGACTATTTTACAAAATAGGAAGCAATAAGAATCAATAAGAAAGAATAATTGTTATTCTAATGGCAGCACTTAAAGTTGTTTATAAGTATTTAAGGTCTCCCCTTAGTGTCGATTTTGTATAAGACATTGACACGAAAGGATTGCTTGAGTAACATTTAAATGATTCCAAGTCAAATGGTTTATAAAAATAAATTTAATCAACCCAGTACACGCAGGCTTTCTCGACAAAAGCGTTTGGTTTTGCTTCGTTTTCATTTGTTTTCGTCAAAATTATCCCAAGATACGGATATGTTGACCGCTTTGACAATCATTTGTTTTGTTGTTTTTTTATTCAGTTCCATTGTTTTTTTTTTCATTTACCATTACTGATGCCGCTTATTACGTGTGGCCAGTTTTTAAAATAAGGTTGTGGGTTTGTGTTAACCAGTTATTTCGATAAGCTATAATATATTAAGATTTTGTCGCACGTTTATTAACGCGCGCTAATAATCGTTCAAATCAAACAAATGCATTTCCGTGTGTTCATATGGAAGCGCTTTTAAAACGCAACGCTTTTTTATCGTGCAGTGATATTTTGAGCGTTAGATGAAGACAACAAGACTGATTTTAAAACATTGTAATTTCGGCGCCAACGCCCAGTTTTAACACAGCGTTAAAATACGCAAGTGCTTAGATTTTTTTTAAAGAATTGAATATGTGATCATTTCAATAAATTAGGGAAAACCTACGCGATAAACTAGTTTTATAATAGAAATACCATAATTAGATTTTTAAAATCACATTCAAGGTCGTGAGGAATTCGAAATTTAAATCGCGATAAAGCTTAGTTGGAATGGTAAAAAGTTTTATTTTCCTTAACATTTGCATTACACTATAGCTCATAGCAATTTTATAGTAGGTTATCAATACTATATACTTATACTTATCTATATTCCATATCTATACTATTATAATTAAGCGTAAACACACACTTCTTTGTTGCCTAAGATGTCACCAATTACAGCATATTTTTGAATAATTCTTTTTTTGATAAAAAGCCCTACACTTACGTCACGCTTTAGGCTATATATTTTCACGCCATTAAACTTAGGGGTAAATATTTTGGACAAGAACCCTAATGCGGGAAAGAGACCATAAGTTGCTGCAAACATCAAGGAAACAAAGTTGCCATGGTTTGTCATTGTCATGTCATTTTGACATTTGCAATTGATAATTTGACACATGAAAACAATAAAATAAAATTTTCATAGTTTTATGCGGATGAAGCCGCACGGGAACAGCTAGTCGTAAATATTTCCTTAAACAAGAATAATAAAATGAAATAAATCACGTGCCAGAGTTACCTTAACATAATGACATTTAATGTAATGATGCTCGCTATCGATGTACAAAATCTTTAGGTAAACAATATTCGTAAATAATGACTATTACCCTGATGATTTTATCTACTGAGGAAACGTCTTTATAAGTAGACATATAAAAGAAGAACACATTTTTTAGGCGTGGAAATAGATAAAATAAAATAAAACACTATTGACCAATAGAGAGAGAGAATAGAGAAAGAGAGAATTGACCAATAGAGAAAGAGAGAGAGATAGAAAAATATCCAATGCGAGGTTCTTACTTGACGCACTCAATAACTGGACTGTCAATACACTGGTACAGTGTAAACACTAACTGTCGCCAATGAGTCCATACAATCTAAGACTGGTCGTCGCAACTGTCCAAATATACTGGCCAAGTGTGTACCGTGTATTACCGTCAGTGCCGTGGTCTTTAGAAGTACTCATAAAAACATAAACGTTTTGTTTTCAGTGGTTATACTTCGTTCAAGTGCATCCGCGGATCAAACTTAATTTGTTATAAACAATTACTTGTTCGAACGTAATAGTTTCATAATTTACCTCTTTTATATTAAAGTCAAGGTTAAGTAAACTATACGTGACTAACTTTGTTTATTTAATTTAATGATAAATGTGCTTTATGAATAACGAATTTTTTTGTTCGATATGTGACAAAGATATGAAATTGACCATTATGTCTGACCATGATAGCATGTGACAAAAACTATAATAAACAATGAAATATTTCTTTAAAAAAAATCTACGACTTTAAAAAAAAACAAGGTTAAAAAAAACATAAATTATAGACAGTTTTTTTTAAACATATTTTCTGCCTCAAGAATTTTAAGTATTGTTACTAAACGAAGCCAGGCGCAAATAATTTTACAAAGCAAATAAACATGCGGTTTAGGTAGAAAGAGCGGAGGTTAATCTATGACCTTTTTTGTATCATGGGGAAAATTTAATCTATGACCTAGACATTATTTTACATGCGCATACGTAGCGTCCTCTATAAAGTTGTTATAGAATCACTAGATGGCGTTGTCATTAATTTTTTTTACGTCGAAGTTTTCGTCTCGCGTATTAATAAAGATTATTCCTGCAGGATATATAACAAGATCTATGGTACAGAATTACGTATATCCCGTGGATGTAGCAAGTCAAGTGTCAACCACATCTAAAAGTGTCAAAACTGGTACACTGAGGATGAATGATGTTTCTACCTCCTTCTCCCGCGCTACACGAACGGACGAACCATGTGCGTACATGAATATAGTTAGACAGTCGTAGAATTCACCATAGAGTACTTTTTTCATCCAAGAACAGTAAGGTGGGGCGGTTGACGGAAAGACTTTTAACGCCCCCCTAAGTATGGGGGCGTTGTAGATGTTACCCAGGGCGCTAGTAGCTTAAAGCGGTTCCCTTCCAATTAAGGTCCGTATCTATTTATAGGCATTACGTAACAAAGGTCTATAACACCGTTATTCAATTACTTATTTAATAAAGCTAAGCGATGTCAGGGCTCAATTTGACCTCCATTAACGTTAACCGGACGAGTCGCTTGTCGACGATTGCGATTTACCTAAATTCATATGACAGTAATTTGGTCATAGAATATAAAAGATTATACGTTGGAGTTTTATAATTAAAATGCACTTTTTACTGTTTGAAAAATTTATGTGGATTTTTTTTTCGAACTGTAATAAGTGTTTCTTTATGGACTTTAAAATTATACAATTTTATAATCGCATTGTGATTTATTTTATTCTTGTATTTTATACCATTCCAACTAAGAAAAAACTTGTTTTTCTTTGTTATATTAGTAAAATTTCATAGATTCGAATCTATGACCGTTTTATTACAAACCAACTATTAACTGTTAATCTATGATTGTCTCTAACGTTGACTTCGTTTACGAACACCAATTAACCCAGACTGCAGTCTGTTACTTCGCAACCTTTGTAGCAGTATTTTGCAATAAGCGCGGCAAAACGGACGCCATTGCACCGCGTCTAATCCCTTTTGCACGAAAAAAAAAACAAAAAGCGCGCCAAAATAGCTGTCATTTGACAGATATTTTTTATCTGTTTTAGTAATGTAGTCGAAAATAACGCATTATTTTTGTTAATTGTTTTTTAATTGTCTATTTTAAACGATGCATTTAGTGCGTAGTGTTAATGATGTGGTTTAAAACGTGTACAAATTCACGGACAGACAATTTTTATATAAACAGTTTTAATAAAATATTAGGATATGTAAGAAGTGTTATAAATTATTTCGGTATGTTTATTTGTAATTAATAATGTATAATAAAGAATCTAAAAGCATGAATGTTTCTTAGTTCTGACCACAGATACGATATGCATGCCTTAATCCAAATACGTAATAATGTTATTTATTTATTTTATTTTATATTTGCACATTAAGAGCGGACGCACACCTCTGACTAAATTATCGCATAGCTGTTGTGCGATTGTCCATTGTTTCGCCCATTCAACTTTTGCACAACTAAACTAAAACTAAATCGAGTAGTGCGCACCTCCATATAAGCTCATAGGAATCAAAGCGAAACTAAACAGTTGTGCGATAGTTTAGTCAAATGTGTGCTCATGTTCTAAATCCTTTATTGCATACTTATGCCTAGTTCGCACGAGATTACTAATAAAGTCTAGTTTCGACTAATTTTATCATATTTAATATTATAAATATGAAAGTTTAGATGGATAGATGTTTTCGAGTTTGTACCCTAAACGGCTGAACGGATTTTGATGAAGAGGTTACTAACTTTTTTTTTAATTCTACGCGGAGGGAGTCACGGGCGAAAGTTAGTAGGCTGTATTTTCTACTATTATATAAATAAAAAATAAAAAAAAACACTTTATTAATACAATCAGTTGAACAATAATCATTGGGCTCTGCCTCCTGAGCTAGGTGGTTATGTAATTTCACGTAGACGAAGTCGGGAGCAAACAGCTAGTAACTAAATCTGAACAACGTTAATTTAATCGAGGTAAATTACTCGATACTCGACTGAATTATTAGTCTAGTGCAAATTAAAAGGCACCGATGGCTGGAATTCCACAACCGTGCGGTTTTCGCGGAACTTTCTGCCCCGCACAGCCACGATGTGGAACGGTCTGTCCTCGGCGGTATTTTCAAACCAATACGACATAGGGTCCTTCAAGAAGCGAGCCTATCATTTCCTAAAGGCCGGCAACGCATCTGTAGTTCCTCTGGTGTTGCGCGTCCATGGGCGTCGTTGACCACCTTGGTGTTCACGCCGCTCGTTTGCCCCCCTTTTATTATAAAAAAGAACATTAAATTTTAGGGTATTCGCCGTATACGTATTGAGTAATATCTGATTATGCGGTTGTCCTTGTGATATAAGGAAAATATTATCTTACTGAAGCGGTTACAACCTGCATGATTGTAGACGACTTAACAATAACCATCTCTATACATCTGGAAATTTCTAGATCAATTATGGTATACGCGATCGAAGATATTGCTATTAACGGGTTTATTCTAAAAGAAAATTTCGTTTTGAAAACCTGGTTTAAGTTATAATTTAATTAACTATTTATGTATAACTTTCGCCCGTGACTCCGTCCGCATGAAATTAAAAAAAACATAAGTGAATAGCCCATGTGTTCTTCCAGTCTAGCTACGTCTATGTCAAATTTCATCGAGATCCGTTCAGCTGTTAGGCTACAAACTAACAAACATCCATCCATCTAAACTTTCGCATTTATAATACGTATTAGTAAGATTTAACCGCAAGAAAGTAATTACGTTGAATATATAGACATACAAATTGGGATTCATATAGATAAAACGTTGATTGTGTTTATGGTATATGAAGGTATTAACCTTGTAATCAGATTGTATAAACAAAAGCTGTTAGTCATAAAAACACAACAGATTATAAAAGATTAGTCGATAGAGATAGTATGACTGGATAAATGTAAACAAACTGTTTAAAGTTGGTTTTTATATAACGTAACCTTATTAACAATTGTACATTCTATTTGAGCTGCTCAGCGCAATAACGGCCTAATCCACAAAATCACTATAAATAAGTTAACTACTTTTTGTATTGGTATTTGAACATAATATAATAAACCATTTACCTACATAATTACGTAATTCTAATCCTTTAAAACGTTACTTGTACCAAAATTTTATTAAAAAAGAAAACAAAAGTTGGGTCTTTTTTATGCCCTTTTTTAATATGACTTTTATAAGGTTGGGCCACTGTTGCGCTGAGCAGCTCATTTATTAATCAATTATCCAAGCGCCAATAGCCTAATGGTTTGGGGTACGGACTACCGATCTTGCGGTCTAGAGTTCGAATCCCACACAAGCACAAGCCTACAGCTAAGTTGGTATGGTTAAAGGAAATATAAAAATTAACAAAAATCGCTAATATTTAAAAAAAAACATCTAATAATACTTTAAGTGATGTATTCGATTTTATATATCATATTTTAAATATTCATTTAAATGCTTTTAATTCTATAAATTTAATACTAAAACCGCATGAAACTTACTAATCAGATATTTTCTTTCCTCCCTTCCTTATGTTGCTTTTGTTTAACCCTCTGTTTGTTATCCTTGCTATTTTTAATTAATTTGATCCATTATCTTCCAAACTATTGGACATTCAAATATGAAATGACACGTCCCTTTTATCCACTTAATGCGTCCTGTGCGTCCATGCCCGTCTTGCGTGGTCTATTCCTGTGCTATTGTTATGCGCTATTTATAACGGAAAATAACCATTTACGGTCCAATCTTCACTTGTTTGTCAAATGATTCGGACGTTTGCCAAATCCCTTTAACCCCGAATATAACTTACATTCTTTACTCTATGAAATTTCCCTTTATCGTCCTTTTCTCTTCCTTATGTTCTTTTCTTCTCGTACCTTGTGTTGCGTGCAGTCCCAACCCGTAGCAAAGCCTACTTCACTTACACAGACGGTACATACGAGGAGGAGTATAGCTGCTGGCCGCCCGCCGTCTGCATGATTATCATCTCCTTGGTGGAGATTGTATTGTTCTGCTATGACGCTGCTCAAGGAAAGACTGACGCTACCGGACCTATCGCCCAGATGTTCATCTACAATCCACATAAAAGACAAGAGGCTTGGCGATTCTTGACCTATATGTTGGTGCATGTTGGGTGAGTTTTTTTTAGTAATGTTTATATGATAAAGAAATCAAGTGATTGATAATTTATGAAGTAGTTATAGGTTTGTTAATGTTGTCACAAACTATGTTTACCAAAAACTAGCTGTTGCTGGCGACTTCGTCCGCGTAAAATAAAAAAAAACAAGGCCCATGTTACTCACTGGTAACCTAGCATATTAATGGTGAAATAATTTTGAAATCGGCCCAGTAGTTTTTGAGTTATTTCAATACATACAAAAATACAAATCTTTTTAATATTAGTATATAGACGAATTCGTCCGCATGAAATGAAATAAATATAGCCTGTGTTTCTCACAGATAAATTACCTTTCTAAAGTTGAAAGAATTTTCGAAATTGGTGCAATAGTTTTTAAGTTATTTCAATACATATAAAAATAAAAATCTTTCCTCTTTATAATATTAGTATAGATACATAATGTCTCTTTGCTAGATGCTATGTCCTGATGGTTCTAACAAAGTTACAATCAAGTTAGAAAAGCTAGTTAAGACAAGCTAAGGAATGTGTTCCTGTTCATAAGAGGCTATAACTATTAAGATAAAATTAAATGGTTTACGTAGTTAAGCGACCGGTATAATTGCACACTTTAACTGGGTAATTACATATGACGATTGCGATGATTCAAGCAAACTTATAATTAAGATAATTCTATACCGTGAGAATCAAATAGTTTTAAAACTTAGTCAATGATATAACTGTCTTTTGTGTTACGTCGATTTCTGACAGTTTAGTTAACCTTATTATCAGTTTGAATAAAAAATCACCCATAGCTAAAACTAATTTATGGCCGGTTTCCCAGCTTCGTTTTACCATTAGTGTTTTTAATTCTGTAACTTGAGTTTTATTCTTTATAAACTTCGGTCAACCTTACACAAATGGATAGGTAATCATACTTCATACTAATATTATAAATGGGAAAGTTTAGATGGATGGTTGCTTGTTAGAGTTTGTAGCCTAAACAGCTGAACGAATTTCGATTAAATTTGGTACCAATGTAGATGATAATCTGGAAGAACACATAGGCTACTCACTTTTGTTTTTTTAAAATTCCACACGGACGGAGTCGTGGGCAACAGCTAGTGATAAAATAAATGGAAACTTCAGCAACCCAGCATTAAAATAATACGCGAAACTTTTCTCAATCAAATAAACTCGTTCGGCGTACTAAATTTTCATGAGATAACCTAATATTGACTTCGAAATGTAACTTTCAAGTTAAAATTACATGTCTCATACTTATTAAGTCTATATCTTGCAGTGTGGTGCATCTTCTAGTCAATCTACTAGTGCAGTTGTTCTTGGGTGTGCCGCTGGAGATGGTGCACCGCTGGTGGCGAGTGGTGCTGGTCTACCTGGCCGGGGTGGCGGCAGGCAGCCTCGCTACCAGCCTCACTGACCCCAAGGTTTACCTGGCAGGAGCCTCGGGTGGAGTCTACGCGTTGATTGCTGCACATGTCGCTACTATTATTATGGTAACTATTTTTTGTGTATGCATGACATAAAAACTTTAAGTGACGCACACCTTTGATTAAACTATCGCACAACTGTCTTGCGATTATCGATTGGTTCGCATCTCAACTGTTTAGTTGCACAACTAAAAATCGAGTAGTGTTCGCCTCCATATAAGTTCATAGGAATCAAAGCAAGACTAAACAGTTGTGCGATAGTTTAGTTTCAGGTGTGCCCACTATAATTGTTAACATTCCGAAAAACTTTCAATTGTTAATGTCAAAATTCATGACAGTAATACCGTTGCCATTGGCTGAGACTTAGTAACCATGGCAACCTTGCTGCTATTGGCATGTTTTTGTCCCTTTCCCGCGTGACAGTTTTTTCCAATTTATTTACCCCTTAAGTTTTAAAGCGTAAAAATATTCAGCCTGTAACGTGCCGTAAGTGTTAGGGATTTTAATAAAGAAAAAAAAATCCAAAAATATGTAATTGTTGACATACTACGCCACGAAGTAGTGTGTGTTTACGTTTTATTGTATTAAAAAACATTAAAAAACTAAATTAATAATTCCCACGGGAACCGTAACTATTCTCGGGATAAAAAGAAGCCTATGTGTTCTTCCAGACTATGCTCTAAACCTGTGCCAAATTTCATGAAGATCCGTTCAGCCGTTTAGGCTACAAACGCTAACGAACATCCATCCATCCATCCATCCATCCATCCATCCATCTAAACCTTCACATTTATAATATTAGTAAGATTGGTTTCCTTATTTCAGAACTGGTCAGAAATGGAGTTTGCGATAGTGCAGTTGTTAGTGTTTGTGTTGCTGGCCAGTGTGGACGTTGGCACGGCGGTGTATGACCGCTACTGGCGTCATATGCAGCAGAACATTGGCTACGTGGCGCATCTTGCGGGCGCAGTCGCTGGTAAGTACTAGGTCTCGTCATAAGCTAGGAAAAGAGATGTATATGGTAAGAGCGGACATCTTTGACTAAAATATCCAATAACTGTTGTGTCGCTTTGATTCCTATAAGATTTTCAGTTGTGCAACTAAATAGTTGAATTGACTAAAAAAAATCGCTCAACAGTTGTGCGACAGTTTATTCAAAGACGTGCGCCCGCTCTTTGACCTAATAAAGGTCAACGGTCGGTCTATCTGGTCTATTGACTTTAATTTAAAATTGGAACACTTTTTATAAAGATTCGTTTAAATTCTTTTATAAATATTGGAACCTTTTTTAAAAATAGAACGTGTCTTTTAAAAAAGGGTTCCAATTTTAAATGTTCATCTTTCGAATAAAATTATCGGTCTAAATTACCTTTCATTTTACTATATTGGTATGAAAATAGTCTAAAAACGAATTTCTTTCTACACATTAGAAAGTTATAATAATTAAACATATGAAAGCACCCCAGGGCTAGCCAATTTATATTCTAGATACTTTAAAACCATCCAATATTATTTTTAAACAGTTTCAATTTTTTATCCGAAGTAATATTGTTATTATTTATTTTCAGGTCTATTAGTAGGTATAGGAGTTTTACGTAATCTAGAAAAGCGAAAATGGGAGAAGAGACTATGGTGGGCGGCGGTCGTTCTCTACTTCTCTCTTATGATAGCAGGAGTTTTAGCCAACATCTTCTGGTATTCGCATTTCCAGTGAAAAAAAAACGCAATTAAAAAAATTATGTACAATTACTCAACCAAAAACTATCAATAGACCAAAAATACTGTTGTTTTTACATATAAAATGCTTCATGTTCCCAAATATTACCATGTAACTGAGATTATTTTTATATGGCAACATTTAAAACTAACCTTAAATAATTTGGTAGGATTTACAACAAAATGTTTGCCTAACTATGAAATGGATAGAAAAATCTTAAACCGATATTCCAAAATAATTATCAAATTGTTTATATTTTTCTTTTATTTTAAAATGTAATTTTAATTGACATAAAACAAAGTGAAGTGTTCAAAGTAAGGTTGAAGTCTATGCCTTGACATGCATAATCGAAGTGCCTTTGTATTCTATATTTATGTGTTTGTTTTGAAATGTGCGTGTGTTTGTATTGCGTTATTTAATGAATAATTCGTTTTTAAGTAATTTATAAAAATATACATGTAATTAAATAGGTATCTAAAAAATAACATTTTCAAGGGATCAATTCGAGATATAAATTTTTAATGGTCAGTAAGATTCTAAATTATATTTGTAATTTTTTTTTTCTTATAAAACGCACAAAAACTTGATTATTATGTATTACGAGGGGCAACTAGTATTTTTAAAATAAAAAGTTATATTTAGTACATTTTATTTAGCTACAATAATGTATTAAATATTTTTAGGTTATGAAATGTGTTGTAAAAAGTAGCACATATTGTATTAGACAAACCGTCCCTAAAAAGGTGGCTATTTTTGAATTTTTAATATTTCGTAATTAAGTCTTATTAAAAATATGTATGAAAAATACTTTTTGGCGCGAATTCTAAAATTTTATTTTCCAATGTCATTAATGTAAAACTGTAATTGTTTATTTAATTTAAATTGATTTAATAATATCAGAAATGTTTAAAATTCCATAAAACAATGCAAAATAAATAATTTTATAAGACATAGAACTGAAATAAACTGTTATTATATTATTTCTGTGATAAAACGCGTTGAATTCTGTTGTTTATTTGCTTTAAGGTAATCAGTATTTCTCTTAAGTATTTATTCAAATAGAATCCAATTTAAACTATCAACGTACAATTTATTTTAACGAAGTTTTAGTTTTTTTAATTTCCACCATTTCTTGTTTTTTTATTTTGAATCAATATATTATTTTTCCATTTGTATATAATAGTCCAGCTCTATCTTATAAATGTAAGCTTTCTTGGTCGTTTCATGCCATTTATCTCCAACGAAAGACATAAAAAACCCCACTGAGTACATTTTAACGTGACTGCCTTAAATTACTATGATTTTTTATAATCGATTTTTGAAAAGGATCTTTACACTACTTATAGTTTAGTCTGGAAACTTTAGACGTGTCTGGATTTCTATACGAAATTAATTTCAAATGTGTTCATCTTTTAGTTCATAAGTCAGTTTTATTGCATTATATGTATGATACAATGGTATTTATGTAAAAATTAGGTATCTAACAATGTTATATTTGACCGACTTCCCAAAACTCTAAAACTACTTGAACGATTTCAATTTTTTTATCATTAGAAGGTTACATTTCTTGTTGACAATTATTAAATACAGTATATGCGTAATGTATAATGCAATATAATTGATTGTATATTATTTAATTCGTACAAGGGTCTATGATATGCGCACGATTTGTTATGTTAAGTGTTATTTAAATACGCATAATGTAAGTTCCTTTTAATTGAATGTGTTTTGTCGGTATGTAAAATATATGTTAAAATTTTATACGAAAACGCAGACTTTTATTTTACGCTCTTTATTCAAAATATTTTTATTCAAGCTCAGATGATTCCAATTTAAAAAGTAATGATGAGGTATTGCCTGATGGTTAGATGTTACAGAAAATTTTTCTAAAGCAGTAGACTATTACCCATTATGGCAACATTAAATATACAAAATCTATTTTCTACTGACTTTTACAAAAAACTCTATGATTGACAGCTCATAGCTGTCAGCTGTCGTCAAATTGTCATTCATTGTCAAAGTAAGTGAGTGAATAATTCGTGTTACTTATCCAGTGTTTTATTAGCGATAAATTAAATGAACATCTGAAGAACGTACCCTGGACAATGTTTATATCGATAAGACTGTATTCTGTTTACATTAATGCTTGAATTGCATATTGCAATTACGTTGTGATTGTAGTCGTAAAGATACAGTTAAAATGACGCGACTGTTTTTCACGTTTTTTATTTTATATACCGTATTTATTAAGGATAGTTTGCTACTTTCGGTTGCCCAAGAACCTTTTTTGAAGACTCCGCAATATACAAACTACGATGATTTAGTGAAACTATTCGATGAGTTGGTTCAAAATTACCCGGAACTGGCGAAAGTTTATTCGATCGGGAAATCGGTTGAAGGACGTCGATTGTTAGTTATACAGATTACCGAAGGTGTTAAGAGTACGCACCCTGAACGACCTGCTTTCAAATATGTCGCTAACATGCACGGCGATGAATCTGTTGGAAGGCAGTTAATGGTTTATTTGGCGCAATATCTTTTAGTGAATTACGGTAAAGATGACAGAGTAACGAAATTGGTTAACACCACAGATATACATTTGATGCCATCGTTGAATCCTGATGGTTTTGAAAAGAGTAAGGTAAGTGCATTATGTTGCATACATATTTTTTACACATTTAATAATATTTAACTGAGTTATTAAAACCTTTTGCAATAAGAATAATACTATAGGTGTATACCATAGTCATTAAAAATTGCCAATTTAAAAAAAAAGGTAATAAATATCTGGCATAGAAATTTGGCATAGATACAGAGGATAGTCTGGAAGAACACATATGCTACTATTTAGTTTTTTTACTACACAGACGGAGTCACAGGAGAAAAGTAATTTGATAATTTAAAAAATAAAGAAGGAGGTTCTCATTTTGATTGAAAATTATTTAATATACATATATAAATTATGCTATGATTTGTGACCCAATTAGTGTGATTATTTTGTTTTTAACTTGTCCTAAAAAAACATTTGGTAAAATTTTAGTTCAAATAAAATTTCCTTGTAAATAAATTACTCTCTCATTCCCATAAAAGGTTGATTTGACTGGATTCTTTATCAGAGACCTTAGCCCTTTGACTGTACCTAGGCAATATAGATATACTAAAGACAAGGCATAGGTCATGTAATGATAAGAATGCATAGGTTGTCTTGATAACAGGATCTTTCCCTGTACACTGCAATTAATATAATTTTATATAAACACATTTAAATAAAAATATTATGCTTTTATAGGAGAATTTTTATCTACATAAATTATTAAATGGAGAACATATCGGAAAAACATAAGCATATTGGAATTGATGTATTTAGTTCCACCTGGACTTAGCAAATGCTAGTTCTACCTTTTATCGTATCATTAAACAAATATAAAATTAATTAGATAATCACACAAACACTTAATAATTGGAACAGTTGATGTACAGTTGTGGAAATCTGTGGTTTCCCTTATATAATACTAGCTTACACCCGCTACTCTGCATGGGAATAAAAAAAACAAAACTGAGTAGTCTCTGTGTTCTTCCAGACTATCCTTTATGTCTATGCTAAATTTAATTGAAATCTATTCAGCAGTTTAGGCTACAAACTCCAACATCCATCCATCCATCTAAACTTTCGCTTTTATAATATTAGTATGATTTGCCATGTTTGTCGCATTGCACCAAATTCTCAAATAACCAATTACTTTCCAGGAAGGGGAATGTGAATCATTACAAGAAGGTGATGGTCGTAACAACGCTAAAGGTGTTGACTTGAACAGGGACTTCCCCGATCAGTTTGATCGCAATCGGTCCAATGATGATGCATATCTGTATGGAGGTAGACAACCGGAGACCACAGCACTCATCCGCTGGGTGCTGAGCAAGCAGTTTGTGTTGTCTGGTAACCTTCATGGTGGAGCTATCGTTGCCAGCTATCCATATGATGATTCAAGGTATGTAGTTATTTTTGCGTTTTTTATTAGTAAAAGGTAGTAAACGAACAGACACTTCAATTCGCTAAAATACTTAAATAATATAGACATCGCATTTACAGATGCGTTATCTATCTTAAAAGCATCGAAAATAGATGTTTCACTTGCCTATGTACCCCTTCCCCAAATCCTAGTGGAACCTTTCATGTTTTTTTTTTTAATTCCGCTCTAGCAAAGTCGCAGGCCAAAACTAGTATTGTATACACAAGATATTGTTTGTTTTGCAAGGAATGTCTGTTGATATAAAATATTCGTTTTAACGTGAAATTACACTACAGTTACACAGGTTTTGTCACAAAGAATGATAATAAAACTAGCTTTCGCCCGCGAATCCGTCCACCTTAAATTAAAAAAAAAAACAAAAGTGAGTAGCCTATGTATTCTTCCAGACTGTCTTCTACGTCTATGCCAAAATTTCATTGAGATCCGATCAGCCGTTTAGGCTACAAACACTAACAAACATCCATCCATCTAAACTTTCGCATTTATAATATTAGTATACTATCTGTTGCTCGCAGCCTCGTCCGCGTATACTCATTAATAACGAGGCTTGTTAATGGTGAAAGAAATTTTGAAATCGCCCCAGTAGTTTGAGTTATTTCAATACATACAACATCTTTCATCTTTATGTTATAGCTAACGAATGTAACGACAGTATAAACCTACTGTTACTTTTACCCGATACCGCCTCAAGGTTAGCCTGCACTTTCATATCTCTTTGTCACGTGAGTTAATGACAACGGTCATTGACGTCTCTTTTGAATAACAATTAATTGTTATAATTATTTAAATTGTATTTTTTTTCTAGATTTAGCTAGAAAGTAGAGTTTACTGGGTACTTGATAAGTCGCGAGTTATTTTTTTAGAATAAGTGCCTGGCTCACCAAATTGTAAATTTTCAACAATCCAACGTGTAAAGTATATAATGGAAATATCGGATTTTATTATCTTATCTCAGTGACGTCATTGTTAAGCTATCTGAACCTCTATCAGCTTGTTGTGGGACAGGCTCTTAATCTTTACTATGTTTTGCATTTTCAAATTGTCATAATATGTGATCACTGTTTCGTATGATATTTGCTATATTGTTGATGTTGTATTTGTTATATCAAAACCTACATATGCATTAATTACTTCATAATCGGACCATTGTTTTTAAAAGAATTTGAATTTCGAACAAAAACAATTGCAGTTTAGAATAACAAAATTCCTAACATGTTAAAATAACGATTATTAACACCTAATATGAAGGTTCTAAAAAAAGTTGACGATCACTTTTATTTTCGCTAACGGCTCACAGAGTTATCTTGATGGCTTTCGCACGTCATTCCGTCTGCGTGAAATTAAAAAAAAAACTAAAGGGAGTAACCTATGTGTTCTTCTAGTCTATTATCTATATCAGTGATTCTCAACCACTATGCCAAATTTTTATTATTAGCTTGTCTCTCTCTCAATCTCTTAATAAAAGTTTAGTTTTTATTGTAGTACTAGCTGCTCCCCCGCGACTTCATCCGCATAAAATTATGAAAATTTTATTTTATTGTTTACATGTGTCAAATAAACAATTGCAAATGTCAAAATACCAATTACCTTACTATGGCAATTTTGAAGAAAAAACTTTCTTGATATTGGCAGCAACTTATGGTCTCTTTCCTACATTAGGGTTTTTATCCAAAATATTAACCCCTTATGTTTAATGGCGTGAAAATATATAGCCTAAAGCGTGACGTAAGTGTAGGGCTTTTTATTAAAAAAAGAATTATCCAAAAACATGCTGTAATTGCTGACATCTTAGGCAACAAAAAAGTGTGTGTTTACGCTTTTTTATAATAGTATAGATATATTTCTTTTTTTGTATATTTAAAATTTTTGTCATTAATTATTTATGCAGTGTGTTGTATTAATAATTTTTATCTTTTTCTTTGTCTGCTGCTAAATTTTAAAACGTTAAATATTTGCCGCAACAAAAAAGGTTGAGAATCACTGATCTATGTCTATGCTAAATTACATCAAAATCCGTTCAGCGCTATAAGCTACAAACTCTAACATCATCCATCCATCTAAACTTTCGTATTTAATATGATCAAAAATCGGACGTATGTTTTCCAATACATATATCTTCCAGCACTGGCAAAGAATGCTGTGAGGAAAGCCAGTCGCCTGATGACGCACTATTCAAGCATCTTGCAGCAGTATACGCGAGCAGACACGAGGACATGAAGAAGGGCAACGCCTGCAAGCCGGAGACCTTCAAAGATGGCATCACGAACGGCGCGTTCTGGTACTCCGTGCCAGGTTCGAATCCAGTTTTATTTATTCCTATCTAAGACAGAAGTTCCCAAACTAAACAACAAAGTCACCAAAAAAGAAAACTAAGAAAAGTTAAACGAAATAACTTTGAAAATCAGCCTTTTTATCGTGTCTTCTTTTTTAGTTTAAAAATCTTAATAAAAAGTTAGTCGCTTGGACTTAATTTAGTCTTTTCAGAGAAAATGTTAATAATGCTACTTATTATATCGCATTCATCCAATTTTTTTTTTTGGCCACTCCCTCTCTCTAGCCCACCTAAAGGGGGGGCGGGGGGTTATCACCCACTTTTGCTAAAATCACAACGTACCCTGTAGGTGGTATGCAAGATTTCAACTACGTAAACTCGAACTGTTTCGAAGTGACTTTCGAGTTGTCTTGCTGTAAGTACCCGCGCGCCGCTCAGCTGCCGCGCTTCTGGGAC